ATCATCAATCTGCGGGCAGCCGGCTCGGAACCGCCAGACCACTCTCTGCGCATCAGCGATCAGCAGCAAGGACAGTCGATACCACAGCTCAGAAGGCATACGGATCGGTTGGGGAATATTGTGGGGACGCTGCAGGATGTTTGGGGAGACGAACCCTGCGACGAAGATGCCGATGCCGCAGTAGTGGGCGGGGAAGGCCATCATGAGATCGGTGCTGAAGCGTAAGCCAGAGTGAGAGCCGAAGATTTACCAGAATATAGAGCATGCTCCATTGCAGGAAGACAGTTGCATTTGTTGCTTCTATGAGTAGTAAAATCGCAGCTTATTATATTGAATGGCCTTAATTCCTAAATGATATCCCGTCTGGCTCGGCGATACATAGATACATGCACTTCAGGGTGATATTTTACGCAAACTATGCACCATACGCTCGGGCTCATCTTACTGGTGCTATCACAATGATCAGCTGCAGGACGCGCGGTATTCTATTATGTCGCTCACGTAATTTGCACTCTCGATCATGGCAAGCGACGCACTCCTCTTCCGTTGTTTAGAGGCCAACTGCTCCTGCAGGAGCTCATGCAAGATCTGACATTTCTGAATGCGGATGCTATGCTCCCAGGCATTTCAGGCGAAACAGGCTCACACGGCTAGATTGTGCAACCTGCAGCATCCCAACGTGCGAGTGGAGACAATTCTCCGGTCGGCGACGCGCTCTAGCTCGTCTGGTACCATCGCGTGCGGCATTGGGCACTGCTCCTCCTTGCAAGCGCGTATGGTCTCCGGCGTGAAGTGCCTGATGTCGGGCGTGCTGGACTCCACGGCTATGTCTCTGTCGGGGACAGTCGAGCAGTCGAGGGTAGTGAGCAGACCCACGTCCGTGTCTGTGCAACACGGTAGGGCTGGTGGGTTTGCGGAGCTTTTATATCGGCCTTCCATGGGGTCCTCGTGATATTCTCCCGCCCTGCGATTCATAAGCGAGCCTGTGAGCAAGATGATAATAAAGATGCTCACTATTCTAAAGGACACAGAAATCACGTCGAGCTTGGGACGATGGGAATGTCTCTAGAAACGATGAGGGGATAGCTCTGCATGGAATGGAGCGAATACGCACGATTGCGCGCCCCAACTCCGCCGCTATCCCAGCTACATAATCCATTGACGCAGCCATGTCTTCTAGAATGCTTATAACATTCAGCCGTGTTGGCTTTCCTGATTACATCGAGTGCTGTACCGTTTCAAGCGAATGATGCCGACTGGTAGCGCAAGCCACGCTTCAGGCTATAGCAAAGCGGGGGCTGTCATGTATGCTGTCATGTATGCTGAGAACAGGGAGTGAGGAGACTGAGCTTGAGGCTGGCCGCAAGAGCATTGATACCGGGGTCACGTTGGGGACGATTCTGGAGCGCAATTTAGCTTGCGACGACGGACCAAGACAAACAGGACGCACCATAGTAACACACCCTCACGACCTCGCATCTTCCAAGGTCCGCCATCTGCCACCCCATCTCTACCTCATCAAACTTTTTGCGACCAGACCGCTCCGCTGGCTTCTGTTTGCAGCAGTCGTGCGACGCAGCTCGCCTTCTCGGGACCCGGACGGACAAAAAAAGGCAGAACCTATGATTTCAGCTCCTCATTCAGGTATATCATGATCAATGACGAGCTCACGTACCTGCTGATGATGAGGCGGAACTTTATGACCACGGCCTCGACGCACGTCCAAGTGGGCATCGTCGGGCGGGATGTGTAGCGCTGCTGGCTGACATTAGCGGAGAGCGTAACGAGAGACATTGGAGGAAGTTACACCAATCGTATTGGCGGTGGAGGCGGCGGGCGCAACGTTGGCGCAGGGGGAGGAACGAGTACAAGCTAAGAATGAAACAGCAGGTTATCTTAGGTAAGCCGGTTCATCTTGAAGTGCGGCAGACTGCAGGGGCGAGCACCATAGGACATGCGCATGTAAGTGCTGTGCAGATGCCGCGAGCAGAGAGTTGTAAGTGCTGAATACGTCGGTAGGGAGAAGATGAGAGCTGAGCGCTGAGCGCTGAAGCTTTGAAGCTTGAAGCGTTGAAGTCTTGAAAGCGGGGCAGGCCGGCGGATCACCCGCACATATGGCGCATCAGCTTATGAGCGCTGGGCATTGTCGCACAGGCCTCACCCAATAGCCAGGTTTAAGTTTTTCCCTCGTGGATCCACGCTCGTTCCCTCATCCTGCATGTGTCTCGACAGGTGTCACAATTTCTCCCAAATTTTGCGCGTACGTATGCTCTCACACCGAGCACCGACTGGTCCGGCCAACACCGGGCCCTCGCTTTGTGACAATATCATCATGACATGGCTCCATAATGCAGTGTACGTACAAAGCAAAGCAAGGAATGAGATGAGGAGGTAATGCATTAAACGATTAAATAGGTAAAAATGACTGAATCTGACACGCAGCCGAGAACTGGAAGCGGCGAGCGATAGCCAATTTCTAGAATCATACGCAACATCGAAACGAATATAATCTGGGGGGAGGGGGGAGACGAAATCTTTGAAATAGGCCAAAATTTCCGCGCAGTTGCAACAGTCCGTCAATGACACACCCTACCCGCTCTCGACGACCATGTCAGGCCTATGCCTTCTCCCTCGTACTCTCTTCGTCGCCTTCGTCGCCCGTTTCCTCGTCCTGTTCGCTCCCCAGCCCATTGACCTCCGCGGCTTCCCAAGTCTGCTAGACTGTCGCGTTTTGGGCGCTATCTGCGGTGGACGGCGCGGTCTTCGAGGCTATATTCGTGGATACGTCTCTTGTGCAGGTCCTTACAAGCTTTCGTAGGTAATGCTCCCTTGTATTTTGTTCAAAGCGAGAGTGGACTAGGCGCAGCAACCACTCTGCTTGTTCGGCAATGTCGAGAGTGACTGTGATGTCGTCGATGGTTTGCTCTGTCGGTACAGACAATATGTCTTCACTTGTAGCGAGATCAGCATTGGAAATGCGATCACGGAACTGCAGTTTGCCTGATTCGAGAGCCCAGGTCAACTGTGTGCGGCGCAACACAGAACACAATATTCTCTTCGCGGCCTCGAAGTCTCGATCCACCGGCCCGATATGGTCGATACAGAGGGGGTGCATGTGCGGGGAATCAACGATGGCTCGCAAGGCATCCCAAGCAAGGGTTTCCGCAACTTCGATATCATTAAATAAGAGCTTGAGAGTGATGCCCTCGATGTTTGCAAGTGCAGATCCCACAGCCTGGCCTGCACTTGATCGGCAAACTTTGACTTCAGCCCAAACAGAGTTGCGCTCAGAGTGGCCCTGACTGGCTGAAGAGTAATGGAGTGCCACCGTGTCTGATAAGGAATAGCCAGTAAGCTTGGCACCGATTGCATGAGCTAGATGATTCACCAAACAAATTTCCCTTTAGACTGTCAAGACTCATAGTCGCCTCTCCGGGTTCGTCTGGTATCAACGCAATCAGTCCCTGAAGCGTCTCGTCCCATGCGCGGTTGTCAATGCCCATCTGGTGAGCAGGCGCAACAATGTCAGCAGCAAGCGTCACTTGATTGGGTACCACCATATCCTTACACTCCTGTATCGCACACTCGAGGGAGTAGCGGTCTGGCGGAGGACATCGCCAAATTCTGCGTGACTGGACAACTGGCGATGGGTCAAGGAAGGTGAGTCGCCCACAATTACATTCTAAGAGCATGTGGAAGTTGTCGACGAGTTGTGCGAGCTCGGTCTTGCTCGTGAATACGACACCGTCGAGGGCGAGTCTGGAAAGTCAGGCGTAAGATGGAGTAACACCGGGTACCGACTCAAATGGGGCCCAACTAGTGATGTGCGGGCCCGGCTTGGGCTCAAAGCCCGGGCTTGGGCTTGTGGCGACGTCGAGCCGAGCCCTGAGCCCGAGCCGAGCCTGACGCCCACGCCCAACGCCGTGGGCTTAAGCCCGGGCTTGCAAAGCTTAG